AAAAGAGACAGCATTACATCAGTGGTAGCATCCCTGCACTGGCTACCTATCAAATACTGGGCTGGTTTTAGGGTTCTTCTTTTTTGTAGGATTTTTTTTTGGGCATTTTGCCTTTAATGGACAGGAGAGCCAAGTGTCAAAGGGGAGAGAGAGGGGATGACATGCAGCAAAGAGCCACAGGCTGGACTCAAACCCTGGCCGCTGCGGCAAGAGCCTTGTACATGGGGCGCCTGCTCTATCCACTAAGCCACCGACGCCCCCATTTTAGGGTTCTTCTATTTGTTTTTAATGCCATACATGGGCTGGCACCTCAGTATATTGCTCAACTTCTCTGCCCTTACTCCAGCTCACAACATTTTAGATCTTCAGAACAATGTCTTTTCACTGTCCTATGTACGAGGCTGGTGCGTAAGGGAGACCGTGTCTTTGTGTTATCTGCTCCAGAGCTTCGGAATAGCCTTCCGCTCTCGCCCTTCACTGACACTTTTAAGACAAATCTTAAGACACACGTTTTCAGTGACCTTTACGCCGGATTTCCACCGGATGCGTGTCCATTGCGGAACGGCAGCGCTGGTTATCCACTGCGTGCTCCGCCATTCGTCAATACCCACCAGCTGCGTTTGCTGTGCGGAGCGGTGCAGCTCCGCCGGAAGACATCTCGGTGCACTGCCGTGATTAATATCTCCTCGTCCATGGCGTTAACGGGGTGAAATGATGTCTGAAAACCTCTGACCTGTTGACTTCAGGCCTGCCTCTGCCCATTATGTAGTTTTCAAGGTGTAGTGCAGGGAAATATGATCCGCGTGAACACTGTGTATTTTGTTTTGAAAATTAACCGGATGTTTTATCGTGTTTCTGTGCACGACTTCCTGCCCCGCACGATCTGCTCTGTGCTGAATTGCTGCGTTGTTCTCCGGCGTCCGGCGTCCGGCAAAAATAGAAGTCTGCGTATCTGTTGCGGAGGGCTCCGGAGTGCCGGAGCTGTGACGGAGCCGGAACGCAGCACAGCCGCAGCTGGTGGAAACACACACATTGACTAGTATTGAATCCTACTGCCGTTCCGGAGCGGAGACGCAACCAACACGCATCTGGTGGAAATAGGCCGTTGTTCTTAGGGCTTATTTATGCTCTCTTTACGTACGAAAATGTATACGTCCGTTTCAAACGATGTTACCGTCACTGCCCACATACTTCCATGCGCCCTTTATGTTGGCATGGGTGTTAACCAATATATCCACCAGGAGGCAGCCCAGCGTCAAAAGTTTATGACAACAACAAACTCAAAAACAAACATGGCGACTGTGGAGGAGATATTGATAATGTACCTCTTGCATAAAAGACAAAAACAGAGGCAGCATTGTAGGAGGCAGTGGTCGTGAGGCCGTTAAATACATCGCGACTGGAGGACGGAGAATTCTTTTCTCTAGTACTGCCGATGAGATATATTTAATTGTTATTTCTTCTTTTTGTCTCACTATAGCTTCGTATCTGGTAGTGACAGCAACACTGCCCCCACGGTTTCCGGTGGTACTGCTCTGTTTGGCCCGTATCTGTAAGCTTTATTTTATAATATTTGAGTATTCTATAATCTTTTTACATATAAAATTCTTCTTACCGGTGTTACACTGTTTTTGCTGTGACCTTGACCCTTCAGGTCATTGCTGAGTCCAAGTGGACGTTTCTGCCAAATTTGAAGAAGTTCCCTCAAGGCCTTTTTGAGATATTGCCTTCAGGACAATTGGACAGACATACGGGCGGACGGACAACCTGAAAACTATAATGCCTCCAGCCACAGCTGTTGCCACATATAAATGTAAATGCATGATAATATATGTATATGTAAAATGAATGCATGCACATATTAACTCTGTACTTAACAAGATTACATATTTGCTGCTTTGCTGAATGTTGCTTTTCTGCAGGTTTTATATTTGGCATAAGGTCGACGAAAACATCTGTAAACAAAGGTTGTACATTTGCCACTTGACCTATTTTTCTCTCTCTCACAATGTAGCTCATTTACATTGAAAATGAAAGCGAATTTATAGGATGTGGGCGACACATGCATTTTGTTTACTGTTAGGGTTTTAGTTTGTACAGTTGTATTTGTAGATGTCATCAACTTGTATTTATCCAGGGAAGGTTTGCTTAGCACACATGCTCCTTTCCAACAAAAGACCTTCTATCCATTTACAGAGCAAGACAAACTCACATCTGGGAGCTATAATTAAATGGTAATGGTTTGCAGTTTGGTATCTGAATACCATATTAACATTACCCAGAAGAGTTTATTTCCTGTCATTCATTATTGTCTAGCACCGCGCGAGAAGACCCCCCCCTCATACACCTCTAATGACATGGCGTGCAGATGAACACCTTAGAGAATGACTACACAAAAATGGAAAGCATGACAGAAACAACACCCAGGATGATCCTCTGCACATAATGGTGAGCATCCCTGTGCCATAACTCAGAGCTCAGAGCACTAGAGCTAAATGTAGCTTATTTGTGTGTGAGAGCGCCAACAAACATTGTATGAATCTACAAAGAGTTTGATTCGTTGTCCGCGCCGCAGCTCCAGGCAGTAAATCTTGATGACATCACAGATTACAATGCTGGCTCTCTGAGGCTGTGTGCATAAATCTTTTTAGAAAATGAAAGGAGAGGATTTTTTTCCTCAAGTGCCGCAAAAAATCCCATCAAAACAAATAAATAAAGACCCCTGTCGAGCTGTTTCATGTATGAACTCATCCATTTACGTCTTCAGACCATGTTTCAGGGAAGACTGAGGATATTTACCTGCTGGGGAAAGGAGGAGAGTTGACCTTGTAAATAAAGATGGAAGTAATATAACACATTTCCTTGAAGCATATTCCGTAATTTATCGGATCTTAAAGTTTTGATGAATGAGTGCCAATTTAGGGAGCAAACATGATCAAGGGCTGCACAAGAAAAGTGCAGTAGCAAGTTGTGCACCGAAACTGCAAGCTTTAGACAACAGCACTACCACTAATGACACAATGTATTTGTCACGACACTTGGTAGGTGCTCCTAGCTGCCATGCACCCAGTATTTTTCTACAAGTTGTCATACATGCCCTGAAAGATGCTTATAAAGGGGGGCACAGTTTGATGCTGTAGCAAAGTAATGCATTTATTGTAAGCTACTGAAGGTGAAAGTACTGACTGCGTAGCTTCTATAACATGTGTTATCACTCTTCTCATGACTTAAGACAATAAAAGTAAGGGAAAATAAGACAGGTATCTTTCATGATACTGTCTACTGACAGTTTTTTTCTCTTTTCTTTCAGTGGTAGGTTGTTTTTGCTGGTGCTTTGTTGTAATATGCTCTGTACAATAAAGCAATCCATTGTAGCACTCATGGCTTTCTCTTTTTAAATGTTATCAACCCTCACACTGGCTGCCATTCAGGGGTTTTGATGTGTCACACACTTATAATTCCCACGTACAAATGGCAAGTTCCCCCCCCATTAGTTCCCCATGAAGATTTTTTAAAATTAAATTAAACTAAATTACATTTTTTAGCTACAGTTTGTCACCTTATTAGGAAATGTGTGTACACAACCTACTGATACAGTCAATTAAAAATTCATTCATAACTTTTTGTATAGTATAATGTGTGGTTATCGCAAAATCCCACAGCACACCTGGACTGGCATTCCAGCACACCACGAGAACCACTGGGTTAGACAATATTTCGGAACAAAAGATTTTGAATTGATAAATATTATGATCTTATTATGATCATATGATCTCGCCTCACAGCAAGAGGGTTCTGGATTTAAACCCACCAGCTAGCTGGGGCCCATCTGTGTGGAGTTCTCCCCGTGTCAGTGTGGGTTTTCTCTGGGTTCTCAGGTTTCCTCCCACAGTCCAAAGACATACAGGTTAGGTTAAAATGTGACTCTAAATTGTCAGAATGTAATATTTAGGAGCCACGACAATGTTGGGACAGCTTGTTTTGTTTTGACTTTGTGAGTCTGTGGGTGTGTCGTCATGGTGAAATGTGGTCCTGGTGACACTAATTGCGGCAGAACTACCACAGAAGCAATTTGGTGTATTTTGCCAGACGTTTATATGTCTGTCTCTGTGGAGAGATTTTGTCAATGCAATTACACTGCAACCATGTAAGTTGCAGTCACAAAACTGTTCATATGCTTGGTTGAGATCAAAACGAAGAAATGGGTGCTGTCCTAGCAAGTGGGCCGGAATTGGGGGGATAGGAGGTATGTGAGAGGACACTGGTCCCCACCTTACACCCCTGGCTCACTAAATTTTGCAGCTGTTTAGCTGAGATCACAATGGTCCGAGCAGGAGCACCTGAAGAAGGGAAGGGGCCATTGCTCCCCCACTTTTACGTCCCTGGCTGACCTTTGCTTTAAATCGTGCATCGCTGTACTGTGTTTAGAGCGACCTCATCACAAGATGAGCTCTAGTTTTTGCAGTGTATGCCACACAACGTGACTATTTACATCCAGTTCCAGTTATTTCCAGACAAAAGACATGTTTTTAATAGAATGTCCCTTAAAAACACTGAATACACAGACAGAAAATGAACAGTGAAACATGTTCCATAATCTAATAAATATAGGTTAAGTTAACAAACCATGCCCATGACCGCGTTGAAAACACTGATAAAAGCAAAAAAAATCTATACATATTTATTTTCACAAGACATTTAGCACATAAAACACTTTTTTTTCTTATCAGCCTTTAGGATAAGGGTACTTATTTTATCAATAAGCCTACTTCTATGTAAATGACTCAAAATTTCAAAAGGCAGTGTGAACTGATGGAGCGACAGTCTCTTTACATTTATCAGCAGCCACTTGAATCTCTGTTCGTTGCTTCCTCTTTCAGGAGGAATATCCATTTAAATAATGCACAATTCTGAAAATATGCTCAGATGGAAGCAGCATTTTCTTTTAGCTACAAGGTAAACTGCAACATTATGTGGCCAGTAATAATTTAGTCATTTACCTGAGTGGCGAGGCTGGAGACATCCATGGCTGTGACAGAGTTCCCGCAGCTTGCCCACAATGAGTCATCTAACACTAACAGTGTCCTCACTGGTTCTGTGCCGAGGCTTACACATCTGCTGGAGTCTTGGTCCCAGAAATCATCTGAGGGAAAAAAAAAATGCTCAAAACTACAAGCAACATATAACAAGAACGTGAGGAAGCCCTTTAATAAGTGTCTATTATCACTGCTAGGCTACAAGTTTTATTAATAAACTCTGAACACATGCCCCACTTCTGTTTGAACACTGTCACATTGAGGAAGGCAATTAAATTAAATTCTTCCCACTTGTATCACAGCAAGTTGGCTTGGTGTTTACTTTCAAAATTCTCTTAAAGCTATTTAACATTGTTGAGCAAATACTGAAGCACGAGTGGAGAGGGCTCACAGCCGAGCCTCGCTTCCTCACGCTCGGATGTGAAAACAGCCATGTGAGAGAGAAGGAACAACAGGTTGACCACATAAAGACTGTGACTTCCATTTCAATCAACACACTGTGCAGCACAACGTTTGCACCCTTGCCACCCACATGCTAATGAGTCTGGTGTACGCTTTAATCCACCCTCTGCTTGGTTCTTCTCTATCGCGTGCTGCCTCGCTCTCTCTTTGTGCTTCATCAGTGTAAAAATGAAGCAGACCTTTCTTCTTTGAGTTTTAATCACGGGGACAACGTTACAGCGACCACATTATAAAGTGAATTACATAAGCATTTCCTTTGCTATGCGTTAATGAAGCAAAATTAGAGAACGGAGTGCACCCAGCCATTTAATTAACATTTTGAGTTGTTTATTTCTGCCTTTCATAGCAGAATAGCTTTACAATGCCTTCTGACTTCCACAGGTTAATTGCTTGGCATGTTGTAAAGGTCATTTTTCCACCTTTTCAAAATTCACTCTTGTAAATGTCCCTCCGGCCCCTTGCGCTAAGCAAGATCATGCAGACGCTTCTCCCTCTTTAATGCAGCAAGGGACCAAAATCTACCCCGCTTCCTTTTGCAAAATATTGTCATTGTAAGTAGACATGATGTCTGATGTGTATATCTGTGTGACAAAAGCTGGAGCACATAATTCACTACAGAACAACTTGCTTCGTGATACAAGTCTTAACTGAAGCCTTGGCATTTCCTGGCTGCTTCAGACTTGTCTTTAAACAGTCGCACACTAGTCAAGGGCATAAATCTTTAACAGATGTGCCGAATCCACAAACATTCCCCGGCACCCTCCAGAGCTTTTCTCCTGTCCTTTTTTTTATATACAAAGCATGAATAGTAATATTTAATCGGCAAGCAGCAGCTTGGTGTAATTAATCATCCTTTCTGCTTGGGAGGAGAGAGGAGCACAGGAGGAAGGCAGGCGTGTTGACATACCGTGGCCAGGTAAGAGGAACCCAGTGATAGAGCTATTGTGCTCCCGCTGGCTGTGAAGGCTGCAAACCACTGCTGAGATGGTGTGAAGCCCCCCTGGCCCTGTGCGATGCCTGACTGAACATGGCATGCCGTTGACCCACCGGTGAAGTGGTATTTTCATATTTACAGTGGGTGTGAATATCAGTAAGAACGGGAAGTCAAGTACAAAGGGAAAGTGATTCTGAGTCAAACTCAGTCTGAAATTAATGTCATTTTTCCAAATAATCTCATTCTGAAAATGGTCCTCATGAAAATCAGCATCAGGCGATTGGTAAATGAGATGACATCAGCGATGGCAGTGGCCGATGTTTTTCTGTTGTGTCACATTAATTTTGAGCAGGCTAAAAAACCTCGAGACTAACAGCCACAAACTTAAATTAATGAGCAGGTACAAGAAGAACACAATGACTGTTTGACTAATGGGCTCTGTGATCTTATTGTTGTGTGATGAGATTACTTGTAGCAGCCGGTGTCATGCTGTCCTGAAGACAATGGAAAATGTGTTTGTGACGAACAGAAACTTCCCGTTTGGTACAAAAGGACGCCTCAGAGGATGCACTTCATTGTTTCCCTGATAGTGCTACATTGTGAATCTGTTTTAAAATCAGCAGAGCTAATTATCGTTAGCTCTACGCAGCCGGTGGTCGCAACTAACAGCACACGGAGGTTGCACTATGTGGCATTATGATGTGTTCAAGCTCTATTCAGTAAACATGAGTATAAGACAAAAGTAAACTATAATGTTCTAATGATTTGTTTAATGTAATCTTATAAAATTTTGTTTTTGGTGAGAAACTTAAATAATTACAGCTGTTTGAAATAGAGATGAGTTTATGTTTTTGCAGCAATAGAAAACAGATATTAGAGAGGAAATCATGATATATAAAATATAGTAAAAGGCTTTGGAAGCTGTTATTTCTTTTTTTATATATCACGGGTCACTGAATAAATTTGTAGGTACAAAATAATCAACATAAAGAGTTGGTATCGGTATAAGTATTGGTGCAGAATTTAAAAATCGGTGCATCCCCAGTGGAAACCACTTTTAGTAATAAAATGAATTACTACAAGCGGATTATTATTGCAACTTTTTTTTTTTCCTTTGTCTTTATTTCTCATGCAGATTACCATCTAACTGTCATCTGTACATTTATTATATAAATATTCCTTATCTGCTGCGAGGGTCCTAAGAACAGAGGGATGTCGTATGCTGTAAAGCCCTCTGAGGCAAATTGTGATTTGTGATATTGGGCTTTATAAATAAAATTGATTGATTGATAAAGTCATAAAATGGACAGCTTCTATTGACTGTTTCAAAATACAGTATAGCTGGTACGGGAATATTACGTGACCCCGAATGCACTTGACAAGGGAGGCTTCAACCACAGGTGCTCTCCCAGTGCACGTTTGTGTTCTGCCTCCATCACCAGCAGCCATGGCTGTTTCTCATTCTTTGAGTAGGTAGCCTGAGGAGCACTAAGTTTCACTGCTGTGTTTTCTTAGCTCGTTTTTGGCAGTTTGTCTTAATTTTGAGGAGACTACATTTTTGTTTTTGTTTTTTATTGAGAGAAAAGTACTTCCGTTCTCCCATCATGATTTCAATGTGCACACAGCACCAGCCTGTGAATTACTGTAGTTTTATTTCTATTTTTGTCCATATTTTGTGATTTATAGGGTTGTCTACCATTCACATCTGAACTGATACTGGTCCCAGTTCCTGTACCTGGATCTCAGTACTGGTACCCAACCTGGTACCTTTTTTCGGTACTTTACTTTTTCTGTAATAACAAAAAATGTAATTTTTGAACAAGCTGCAGGGGTGACGACTGAAACACAATTCTGCTCCACTGCTCTTTTCTAATCACACATACACCTAATCTTTGTCTTGTTTTATCTGTCTGCTTGTGCCTGTTTATATAGAAGTCTTACTAGGATATTACTAAAATAATATTAGAAATCAGATCAGACACTGGCAGGTCGGCGCTGCAGGGATGGTTCTGGCTTGCTGGGAAGCTGATGGAACGGCCTTGGAGCTTCAGGACGCTTCTGGCTCCTGTCTTAAGTTGAACTTGGAGCCTCCGCGGAGCTCCATTGCTGGCCTCAGAGCTCTACGGCTGGCTTCCAGGCTATGAGGCTCTTCCTGGCACTACCGCCTCTTGTTTAAGCCCAGCGTTCTCACCCAGGTCGGTGTGCTCTCAGGTACCAAAAATTGGCACCACTAGATTTAACATCAATCGGGACTCTGTAGTACTGACGTAATTCGCTCGGTACCCTTAATTATATCGAGTATGAATGTATAAAAAGACCCAAAATGAAGCATTTGTATAGGAATGATCCTGTCCCAAGAGTTCTGATCCATATAGGCAGCTGATCACTGATAGCGTTTTCCACTATAATTATTTCCCTGTAGGAAAAAAACATTTTTTTTGAAGCCCATTAGAAATTTACAATAAAAAATGTTTCAGTACATTTCATGGTCACATCTCATTATGAGCCAAAAGCTAGGGTACCTATCTACATAAGCAAAATGGATATGAATAAAACACTGGATGACCTCAACAATAATTAACCAACAAAGGTATAAGAAATGTAATTTACTGGGAATTGAATAGATCCTGTTTGTCTAATTGTGTTTGCATTACATTGGTAGAATTAACACACAATGAAAGTCCTTATTTCTTGTATATACAAGACATACAAGTTTATTAATTAGTATTTAGAAAATGTCCATCATATTTGACCACATAACACACATTTATAAAAAAGTACCACTGTCAAATATACGTTCCCTCTTGCCCAATCGACCATACAGGGCAACAGGCAGACACAAACCTACAGCCATCAGTCTGAATCCAAAGCAACCTTGAAAGCACCTTACCGTTGTTACCTCTTCCGTATACCATCACGGTCCCGTTCCGCAGGCCGGCGAACAGGAAGCGAGAGGAGTGCTTCAGGCACAGCACAGGGCAGCCCTCTGGGTTATGGAGGGTCAACAGGCATTGTGCTGCAGTGTCCACACTGCCGTAGACCAGTATGCTGGAAGAACAAAAGCAGCACAAGCCAACATGATAAATGAGCGTCATTTGAAATGACAGAGTGCCTCGTTTTCATGCAGTTTGATTTAACAGTGCACTTTGGAGCACAGCATTGTGTATGTGCAACCACTCCGTCTTTCTTGTGTTTGAAATGCCATCTGAACTTTGCTGCATCTTATTGTCTTCTTCAGAATGACAAATGCGCATCGCTGTTTGTTTCTCTGTCTGAGAAGAAAATGTTAAGTAGCATTGGAGCTGACAGTCTTTCGAGTGCGCTAAAATGCTGAAATTGTCTTTTTTATTTTACCGTATGTCTTTTTTCTTTTTCCCTGGACAGACACTTGCAGTGAAAGCGAATGAGTCAGCAAAAAAAAAAACTGCTGACATATGATTTAGGCTCCTATACAAATGACTAAACACTACTGTAAATGAAAATTACGGAAAAGTGGTGACACAATGGCTAAATCTGAAATTCAAGAATACTCTCAACAAACAAACAAACAAACAAGCAATTTATTCACAGTAACTGTGACAGTAGACTGAGATTAAACCTATCCTCTGTTACACACAGAGGGGATCAGAAGATTTATTGGATTTGAAAATGAAACTGTGATCTTAGCAGCAGTGGCTGTATTGACGCTGTGTTGGGGGTATCAACTCTGATTTTTTGCTTTGATGAAATATTGACAAGCAAATCTATACTGTTGGACATCTCAGGGGACCATAACAAAGGATAATACAAAGGATATTATTTTACAACAGAAGCTGTGGAGTATACTGAAAATAAAACATTTGTGTTCTTATCTTTATATTTGTGTTTCTTTTTAGCAATAAATCTGTGTCCAATGAATCAGATTTAATAACCTGACCTAGTTTAATATCACCAGAAAAAAGCTTTTTTTCTCTTTTTCTTCATGTGTCTGTGGCGTTCTGTCATTTAACATTGGATGCTATGACATTAATCACAATATTACCCTGCTATTATCAAAATGTGCTTAAAACTATTAAAATAGTACTTAAACCTACTGGAATTGTGTTTGTATTGCATCATGGATATAACACACATCTGTTTTTAGTGAACAAAAGATATGATATATTAAGATATGGCGACAGGCTATTGGTTTTAGAGTGACTGGAAAGATACCGTTTCCACCTGTGGGAACTCAAAATAAAACAGGAAATCAATATAAGCAAGCTGTTAGCAAGCTAGATGGCTTTTCAAGTAACCTGTGAGGATATTCAACCTAACTGCTGAGAGAAATGTTGGCACTGCACATCTCAGCAAACCAAGGATACGTTATATTTGTACATTATTGCGCTGCTAATACATTGAGAATTAATGTTTTTTCGGTTTCTGGGTTTAGTTAAAAACATTTGGTTACTGTTAGAAAAAGATTTTATTAGTAAAATACTTGCTTTTGATGGCACAATTGACCCTTTGCTAAGCCCCGCCTCTTTACAATGGTCAAGCTGTGGAAGCTAGCATGGTGCCTGCACTGTAACTAACTGAACTCCCTGTGGAAATATAAGCAATTTTTTTGGTAAACGAAAAAGTGAAACCAGAGAGAAGCATACAGTAGGGTCAACAATATGTGTTTGGAGGATATATCTAGGATGTAAAACCCACTCAGCGGCAAAAACAGGCTAAAAAGCTAAAGATGGTTAGAAGCTAAAACTTAAAGGTAGGATCTGGAGGATTTTCAAACAAAACAAAATATAGACATATACAAATGAAATCCTGCTTAATCATCACCTATGGGCTTCTGCTCATGTGTGGTGGTGACTCTGTTTCCAGAGCTCCTGCCCTTTAACTGTATTTTGATGTTTTTGTGAGCTCGGACTGTTTCTGGGCGGAGATTTCCCCAGCCAATGACAGAGCGCAGGTGCCGTGCCCGAGTGTGTCCGAGTGTGTCCGAGTGTGCACCAGCGCGAGCCTTGCCTGAACCTCTTCTGTGAAGCCTTCTTCCGTACCTCCGGGCTCTGTACACCCGAGTGAGTTGAGCCTGATAGGAGGGGCCGAATTTGAATGTGTGTTTACAAACAGCAACTGGAAAATCCTCCAGACCCTACCTTTAAATATAGGCTACAGATTACATAAGTGAACCGCCACATTGCTGTGTGACAGTTTCAAGGGAAAGAACGGCAATATTCAACCAGTGGTGTGTTATCACAATGTGTGCAAATGAACGGTGTTTGGCTTCTCCCGTGCCTCCAGCAGCCGGACCCCCACCATCGGACATGCAGGGAGCTCCGAGGGAAGCCAAACAACGTTCATCTGAACACAGTGCGACAACACACAAAGGGTTGAATATCAGCAAAGTTGGTCGGCCTTTAATCACTGTCAAAATCATCAAAAAGTAGGCTATACCCTCAGGAGCTAGCTAGTGAGCTAGCTAACCCTACACTTTTTGGTGTTTGACTTTGGAATGGGGAAGAAACGTTTATCTTCTTCCAACCTCTCCAGGTAACAAGTATCATTAACACACGTTTTGCTTGAAATCCACAAAACCAGCTTGAAAATGAAAGAAATCTGAAACGATCACGACAGTCGATGGAGCACTGCCATGTTGTTGTCAGACCCTTGTCGGAGCTGGCCAAAGCTACACTATAATTGGCAAGTCTACATTTGAGGGACATTTTTGGCCAAAAATGCAGAAATGTTTAGGTAAAAAATAACGACTGCTTTTTGTTGCACTGTACTGGCAGGAAATGCAGCTATACATACAATATGATACATATAAAAAGTACAAATGCAATGTATCCATGGTTTACAGAAATGTACCTTGCCAACATTTTCCTCTAGCGACTAGGCTGAGATATTCACGATTATCCCCATAACAGAAATTCACCATGATCAACTTATTTGATTTAGCAACTGAGTGTGTTTTTTTTTTTTTTTTTATAAAATCATCCCATATCTGTGATTAGTCTCTCACCGCCCATCGTCTAATCCAACACAAATGTTGGCGCCGATCCCTGAAGTGGCTTTGTGAACTCCAGCCTCTGTTTCATCAGTTGGAGAAGGTTCTGGCACGTATTCCAGGCATCGGACAGCAGAACCTACCTGCAGGCACTTTACAGTCCTTGGCATGGGCCTGTTGAGGGAAAATATCTCTATGTGCCCATGCGAACCATCTCCTCCACCAGCCACCTGTGGGGAGAAAAAAAACCTGGTTGAAAAAAGGTCAGGACCCCATGTTAAGCTGTACCAATGGACTGAATCATAATGCCACGGGTAATAAACTATTCTGCTGAAACTGAAAAAAAAAGAGATAGAAAGAGCAGAGAGCAGAACCAGGCCAGCCTCCCTTAGATCATGCTTGCAATGTGCGTTCTCTGTCTTAATCAAATTGTGGAGGCCAGAGGATAATGTGTCTTTGGTTAAACATTCTCTACCTGTCAGCAATTTAGATTTCAAAAAAGTTCAAATCAATTATCCTTTCAGACCTTGTCGTTTGTAGTCCTCCCTCACTTCTTTTTTTCCTGAATATCACTTAGAATTTTAAACACATTATGTAATGGATTCACAATGTCATCTCTAGAACATCAAACAATTCTTATAACTCTGCGATCTTTTCATCAGCGAAGAACAGAGGGGCTCTCGTAAGTTTCTGAAAGGCTCTGAGTTGCTTATCAATGAGGTTTTTTTTTTTATGAGTTTACAAGATCAAGTCATTGATCTATTGCTCGAGTCAGTTCATTATAAAATGAAAATAAAATGATTTTCAATTCATTGAACTGACATTTGATATTAACATGTCCAAGGTCACACTGAACACTGAAAGGCGCTGCTCTCACACCGAAGAATAAGCAAACATGAGAGCAAACAGACTGAACTTTTGACAGCTGGGAGCATTCAGTGTCTCAATTTGGACCAAGTTTGAACCAATATGTGCCTGAAGATGTCTGTCTCTTTTAGAAAAGAGACTTGTTTGTTTGGTAGGTCTCTAACAAACAAGAAAGCAACCTTATATGTTATCAAAAAAGGTCCAACAATCATGCCAAGCTTCCCAAGGTGATTGACACCCCACAGGCTGAGTGTCTGCCTCAATAGAAGCTTGATTTCCTATGTACCACATTTATATTGGCCTTTGTGTAAGCCTGTCAAAGCCAATGCTGAGAAAAGGAAAACAGCAGGAACCCTCCACCCTATCTCTAATGCAATTCCAATTAAGGTGGCATTGCTCCCATTCCTAAACAATTAATGTGTCGCCGTGGGTTTTCAATATGATATCAGTCATTGCTCGTGCACAAAGCCTAGGTGGATTGTCCAGACAAAATGCAACGTCCTCCTTGGAAAAAGGAGCACGGCTGCTTGCTGCTAGACACCGCAGATTTATTCTCCGTATGAATCACATCGTGTGAATGTGACATGAGCTAAATATAGTCTTTAGCTCTTCTCCTCCACGCTCACCCTTATTTGCATGCAATCATTTGTTTGATTTGTATCAGCGTGCAGAATCTGGACAGGAGCGATCCTGTGGGCTCTTGAGAATGAGCCAGAACAAATAATGGTCTGTTGCACAGCGTGAAAAAAAAGATACGAGGGACTTATCTTGCAGCGAGGAGCCCAAAAGAAGAAGAAGAAAAAAAAAAGAGCGGCTTCAAGTGACTCTGTGTAACCAGAGCCAGAGGCAAGGCCCCCTCACCCAGACTCCCCCCACAATTTATAAATTCAACTGTCCATCTGTGCCTCCCAAACCCCTGCACACACAACCACCACCACTATCCCCGTCAACCAACACTTTCCCCTCCTCTCTCTGTTTCTCCTCGCCTGATATCCAGTGCAAATACTGTGTCCTGACAAAGTCATCACTACTTATTTAGAGAAATAGATATCTGGAGTCGTGCCCTGGGCAGATCCCTGCTCTCAGCTTGGGAGAAGCAAAAACTTCCCAAAAAGTAAATGCTCTGCCAGCATTAATTAGATTGCTCTGGACGCAGTGAGGTAGCGTGGGAGAATAGTCATGATGGCACACTCTGTTCAATTGTATTTGTCACATTAAGAAGCCAAAACTGTGGGTCACCAGATTGTTGATGTACTCTGAAACGGATGCATTTCAAGTTCCCCATCACTGACACTTGCTGTGAATTCTAACTCCCTGAATAAGTGCAGAAAAAGAGAAACATAACAGCAGATTTAATGGAGGCTTTATCTAAAAATGAGATGTAGGATGGAAAAAGTGGGACAAGGAAGGTGAAGGCAAACAGGGAAACACTGGGGCATCAGGCTGATTAGACACAATGTCATTACTCTGATCAAAGCACACAGAAATCCCCATAGCCCATCTCACTTTAACATGATTAGTGTCATCCCTTATTTGACAAGCCTGCCAGGGAGGTAGAACCAACTGGGGGCGGGAACGCTCAGCCACTAATTATTCTTGCTGGATCAGCAAGCCTTCACTATTATTTTTTAGCAGCTAACAGTTTGTTTCTGCTTTGGTAACATGTTGTATTGTATAGTACGTAACAATCACTGTCCTTGAAGGTCAGATGTGCCCAGTACTCAAGGAGCTACTTGTCCTGTTTGCAAGGTCGGTCCCCAAGAACTTCTAACTAATGTTTTGCTGAGTAAAGTGACTCTTGAGATTTGAATTCCATTTAGTGCGAAAAATTGTCCGCTGAAAATGTGGACTCTTCAGTGAAAGGCCTCCTGGCCGAATCCCATTTCAAACTTACAGATAGCATTCAACACAAAGGAGCTGCACTCCTTGGGTCTCTCTATAGACACACAAGTTATTGTAATGCAATAAGTGTACCAAAGTTTGTTTAGAATATTAAATGTGACTGCCTCTAAATACAAAAATGCAATTAGAATTCAATCAAGAGGTGCATTTTCATTGTTTACTGAGCATTGCTCTGTTTCAGTAAATCTCAGTAAACATTTTCCTTCTCGAAGATTCAGATTCAAACTCTTTCTTCTTTTGAGGAAAACTTGCTTTTAATGCAAAGACTAATTGCAGTGAGAGCTTGGACTCAAGTTAGGCACATTATAAAATGTTGATTTGAAATTTAATATAAACTTAACTCACTTCAAACTAGACTCCCTGTTGAGTTGACTTTAAAACTGAAAACTTTCAAGTACTAAGTTTTGACCAGGTCAAATCCCAGAACATTAAAAAAGAATGAATAGGACAGCAACAGGTGGGGATTGATGGTCACACACATTACATATTTGATTATTAGGTCTAATAGGGAGTTGTTCTAAGACAGGAGTAGGCATGCAACTATGTGGCCCTTTAGCTAGTAGGCGATTTGAGAGGTGACAAGGTGGGATGTCATCCATACTTGTAGGCAAAATAACCCAAATGTGTCCCCCATGGTAACCTGCCATCCCTCTTTATCCTGTCCTACAATCCGGACTTAGACCTGTGACCAATAAATTATTGAAAATTATTACTCTACACTGGACAAAAACATAAACACAACACTTTTGTTTTTGCTCCCATTTTTCACAGGTTTAAGTTAAACATCTAAGACATTTTTATGTAAAATAAAGATTTAATCTGCTCAAATTTTGGTTGCAAATTTGTTGAAATCCATGTTAGTGAGCCCTTTCCAAGATAACCCTGACCCCAGGCTCGAACTAGGAACCCTCCTGCTGTAAGGCAACAATGCTAACTTCTGCCCCACTGTGCCGTCCTGTTGCCCGTAAACTGAATGTTCATTTCTCTATCATAAGCCATCTCAAATGTCGTTTCCTTGAATTTGGCAGTACATCCAACCGGCCTCACAACCGCATACCGCATGTAACCACACCAGCACACGACCTCTACATCCAGTGTCTTTACCTGTAAGATAATCTGAGACCAAGGATGGCTTCTGGGTTTGTTTTTCTGAACAGTTTGGTTTTAAGTAGTTATTTGATGCCACAAAAAGGGCGCCTGATGTCGTTATTGGCAACTGTGTGTATAAATCGATGTAACTGGGTCAAACAGGTGTATGGGTTGGAACTCCATACCCTGGCTAAACTTCCCAATCACTACTGTGCAGATTCTGGCTCCAAAAGCACAACATGGCAGTGCTTTATTTTTGTACAGTGGGAGGAAGTGGTTGTACATCTTTATATACTGTCTATGGTGTAGAAAGGGTCTAAGTCACCTGTAATAGTATGTGCTCTCAGAGAGGCTGAAGGTCAGAGAAGCCTTTGCTCCTCCAGACACTGCAATCACCGTGCCCTCGATGCCAATTCCATCATATCTCCTTTTTCACATCAGACTGAGCATCCAGTCCTCTTTAGAATAACACTACAAAGCAAAAGTCTGAGACACTGAGCTGCAGTCTGTGTCCTGGAGGACCTGCACTGGATTTAGCCACCTTTTAGGCCGAAAGAGGATTACCTGATAAATTGCCCACCTTCTCCAAAAAGGAGGGGAAACAAAAATTGAAACTTAAAGATTAATAGTGGATTCTCTGCATCATTCTTTTCCCCCTGAATTCCTACTCTTTCCTAAATTCCCACAAGTCCAGGGATTGTGATGTGATAGTCTAGCAGCACAATTTGCCCCACTCATCTTAAAACACTCTATAGCACTTACCTTTAGACTGTACTGTATTAATTCACAGTTTCCTGGCGACATTTTACAGAGAAAAATGGTGCATGTCCCATTCTTAGCCTTGAGGTACCTTTTTTTTTTAAATTCTGTTTTTAATGAATGAGAGCAGAATTGTTGAAAGGACTTTTAAATGGTCATGGTAATTGGGTTATAGGCTAAAATTATCAGCAGCTGTAAAATATGCATCGTTTTGCTTTGTCATTGGTTTTAGTTATTTGGTGTGTGTGTGTGTGTGTGTGTGAGTGAGAAACACATTACTTACCCAGAAGTAGCCTTGAGGTAAGGAGGTGCTCGCTGCAGAGAAGCCCAACAATGCACAATGAACAGGATTGTGGAGGGCAGCTTCAAGCTACAAGAGACAAAATGAATATTGATTTAATACATATCATGGCTCAATACTGCAACCTTATGTTTTTTTGTTCTTTTGATGAAGTCTAAAAAGAAAAAAAAAACTCTTAGTGGCCGCAAAACTGGCACAGAGTACTCACTCTGCAAGACGATACATGAGAAATTAAATTACCTGCTGACCATAAAGCGCCTCAACTCTGCTGTATACCAGAGGTTTGTCATTTTATATCAGAGCTGATGGCTTTTCATCCACATAAGCTGTAAATGTAAGTGTATGGAAACTTGGCTTTAGCAGCACTCACATTTGAACCAACAGCAGCACTGGTTTTGGTACCTGAAAATTGGTACCAGTACCCAGTGGTTCCTTTTTTGGGTACTTTGCTCTCTCTGTAATAACAGAAATTTAATTTTCACACAAGCTGCAGGGGTGATGTTGTCGACCAAACACATTTCTGCTCTTCTGCTGTGATACCAGGCTATTACTAAAATTATACAGAAAAGAAAACCAGACACTGAAATTATTGCGGCAGATCGGTGCTGCAGCGATAGCTTTGGCAGCCACAGAGCTTAATGATTGGCTTTTCAGCTTCAGGGCCTTTCCGCCTACTGTCTGAAGTTGAAACTAGTGGCTCCTTGGAGCTCTGTTGCCGGCCTCAGAGCTCTCAGGTGACAACATTCGGCACTGATGGATTTAACATGAATCAGTACTTGGTAGTACTGACGTAATTTAGTCGTAACCATTATGCTGGGTTCACACTTCACAATATCAGCCCGATTATAGCATGATGCAGTGCCATACGGTTGCCGGCTTCGATTGGGAACATCATTATGAGTGTCGTACGCGATAATCCATCAATTAATCTCGTGGAGTTTGTCATGGTAGACGACAACTGGCGCCAGGTCTAGGTCGCCTCACGATGTCCCAACATAAAGTACAGCATGTTTGAATTTGTTTATGTCTTCCACGACTGCTCCCATCACAGCCGTCACTTTGACCAGTAGAAACACAGAACGATCTGCTGCTGTAGACAACTGTATGACAACAACCCCCCAGGGTTTTTGCTATTTCCTCTAGGGACGTTACCACACAGAGTAAAAAGAGAAAACTCATGGTGTGAAATAGCAGAGGCACTTTGTCAACCCACTGAGTACTGCCATTAGCATCAAGCTTGCAAAGAATATTATTTCTTCATAATGGAGGATGAAAAGTAATGAGATTATAAAATAGTGGTGGTGCTTTTACGTACCACAACTGCAGAGGCTACCAGCTTCGTTTGAAACAGACTACATATGAAATGGGCCGCTATTTATTATTCTCGTTTTTCTATTTTTACCTTCAATCTGCTCCAGTTTGCCATATTAAAGTTAATGCATTGTGCAGTCATTTCAACTCAACACTTCCTGTAGCTGTTAAAAATTAAAAGCCCCTCACAATTCCGGTTGAGAGAATCCCTTTGTTTTTAAAAAGGCTTTTATTGTTAAACATTTGCAGGAACTTGTTGTGGAGGATTCAGTGACTTGCATAGTTTGCATTAGGTACTTCAAATATAGCCCCTGACATCTGGTGGTGGCTTTTATGTTTTGGTCGTGGACCAACATGTAGTCTGTCATGTCTGTCGGCCAAGTCACGGCAAGATTTTATGATTCCATAGTCACCTAATCTGACATAGTGACTGTTGGCACAGACAAAAATGTCACCCATCCTTAGTGGAAGACCTGATTTCAAGCACTGACTGCTCACACACACATCTTGTGTTCTTTACATTCAAAGAATACCCAAAGTATCTATGGACTCTTCTTCAAATTTATCTTTTTTTGCTGTGAGTGTGAACACTATATCTAAAACAGCAATTTTATATATCAAGTGCTGAAAAAATAAATAAATAATATACACACACAACTGACTTAGCCCCAAATGTTCATATTAGTATATAACCTGCGAGTGTTCAATTTTAGATTTCTTTCTACTACCAATGCCGAGATCAAAACACTAAAACAATGCTTAATATTTTAGTTGTTATTGGAGGCAAACCTTAGTTTTGGCCTTGTTTTACCGTCCTCTACACAATTCTTATTTTTATACCATTAGATTTGTTTTCATGCCGTATTGGTGTAACTTTTAGTTCTTCTAGTAACCATACTGTCCGCCCACAGGGGTCCTGAAGATGTAACTCCTGAACCAAAGCAGTGGTCTGACTATTTACTATCAATAAAAAGAGCTAACATCTTCATAAAAGGGAAAAGAAATCTATATTCCTTCGACATATAGCAGATTTGTTTGCCTGAAACGGAGTGATGGAGTCTGACATTTACAGTGTAGTGTGTGTGTGTGTGTGTGTGTGTGTGTGTGTGTGTGTGTGTCGTGTGGCTGATGCATCAAACCCCCGGTGGTGAAAGCTGCTCTTCAAACCAGCAGTTGGTCTGGTAGGAAATGATTATTATTTTGGTGTATGACCGCTAAGGGTGGGCCATGTGACAGACGGAACAGCTAATTGTGTGTTGTTGGGGTCGGTGGGGGGAGGTTGGGACCCGGTGAGTTGGCGGGTTTGAGAGGGGGAGGGGGGAGTGAAGAGATGGTCAGCGATGAGCACCGCACGTCTTTAACTGTCGTCCTCTACGGCGGCAAGCATCAATCACAGGTAATTTATAGCCTCTCCTGGCCCGGACCCTCCCCCTTTTTTTCTCTTGTTTGTAAACACTAAACAGAAAAAAAAACAGGATACTGGCCAGATCACTGCTCTCCCCATCTGCACAGCGAGGCTATTCCTCCACTCCCCCCTGCCATGTCTGTCTCCATCTATTCAAATTCACGCAGATGCATGGCTCGTCCTCTCTATCAATCTCTCAGTCCCACTTTCCCATTTCTCATTCCCATCTTTCATTCTTTTTTTTTTTTTTTTTAACGCCTGCTCTTTTTCCTCTGTCTGTGTCTTTTTTTCTCCCTCTCCTCCTTCTGCTAGCCCTCCGTCAAGTGCAGTGAAATGTTTTTTGATAGGTAATTAAGCGGCGGCCATAATAGTGTCCATATGGAAGCCCTGTGGTTAAGAGGGAGAGAGTGGCGGTGGACCAGAGGGACTGAAGCACTATATCGGACGGTGCTGGTAGTTCGATGGTGGTTGGATTTTATCAGTCACCTGAGACTGGCAAGCATTGTAGGCCAATCTTCTCAGACCTAGATTGCTTTGTATGTTAGCACTCTCTAGAGTCAGTCTGGCATTACTAGTGGGATCTCTCCACTCTGACAGAACAGTGCTATCACAACTTAATAAGGTATTCAAAGGCAGGAATGTGTATTCCAGAAAAAGAGCTAATATTTAAATGAAGAGGCCCGTTCCTTAATGAGATATACACCATTTGAAACATTTGATGCCTCTTATAAAATGATTGTGGATATAAAGACAAAATCTCATTTTGGAATATTGTACCAGTAATGAGCTTTTTGTTAATGACATCCTATGATTGTTAAATATTTTCATGTTGTAATTCATTTCATTTATTCTATTTCTAAAAGCAGCACACATTAATTAGTATATCTGTAAATGTACCAGTGTTAACCAGCTGGCTAATTGTCAACTGCAGTCCTGTGTCCTTCACATGTCAAAAAGCACTTTTGTTCTGAATATTACAAATAGGGATGTAGATGGTCAATGGATAATTGGTTAACAGCAGAGAATATTTTTGACCATTTAGGCTACGCATGTCGGACCATAGGTTATTTTTGCTGCTATTCAGTTTACTGCACTGGGCACCAACTGGGTCTGGTGGGAGCCAGCTGGCAGTGCGTTCATCTGGTGATTATCTGTGATAATGCCATCTGGACCCAACAGCATTGCTGTTGAAACATTGTGCCCATCTGGTCTCCCGTCAGGTCACGCCAGGTGAGTAAGTCACTCAATTTTGAGCTGCAAACCCCATTTAGCATTTTTAGCTGTGTTAACACCGTTATCTTTGTTAGCACTGTTAGCTGTGTCAGCACAGGTAGCTGTGCTAATATAGTTAACAATGCTAAAGAGCAAAATCAAGCCACATTTTCACCAGGGCTATCTCGGGGGAGAGCGAAGGGTGGCCATCATGTTTCTGCATGTATCTTCCCGGGGGTGGTATGGCGTTAACAGAGGTAATAGCCGAATGAGCACAATGCAAGCTAGCTCCCACCTGACCAAGCCAAGGCTAACGTTAGCTAACCAGTGGAGACCAGAGGGTGGGCAGTGGGCACTATGTTTCTGCATGCTAACATGGCTAGCCGACTGTCAAGAGAAGATAAAATAAAAAGCAAGATAGTTATATTACAAAAGATTCAAATTTCACCTCCTCTACAAAGACAGCGCTTTGAAATGTGGCGCTAAATTTCACTTCATCAACGGACTAAAAGGGTGGGCCTCTCGTATTTCACAGCATTTTTTTAATGGGTTAATGGGTGTCGGGCTATTAAAAGAAAAATAAACTGAAACTGACATCCCTAATAATAATAATTAATTAAATCTACTATATTAATTAGCATTAAACATTATATTCCATATTATCATTTTGGAATGAAATATTACCACTGTTAACATAAAGCAACATTTTGTATGAGAATGGCTCACTGGGCTCGATGTACACAAGGACACTGAGGCGAGGATAGATTGTGTTCCCATTAAAGTGCAGACAGTGGCTATGATCAATACAGTAAACTACTGGTCCACTTATTGAACCTCTTTAAACAGCCAATGGGAAGAGCCTGAGTGAACATAACAACAAAGCCTGTGTGGATCATTTCCACCTGTGAATGTGCAAATTATTTCGACAGCCACAAAGGAAATGCGGTCTTCAGCTATGACCATCTCAGTGGCTATCCAAATGCTAATAAGGTATCACAGAGGCACCATTTAAAAATCAATGAGATCCAAGCTTTCTCCGAGTCAATTGTCAGTCTTGTTTATAGCACTCTGTGTGTGTGTGTGTGTGTGTGTGTGTGTGTGTGTGTGTGTGGAGCTGGAGGTGTGAAGTCGCGAAGCTGAA